TTACTATATAGTTCCTGTTAAATATATTGCTATCTTAAGTTCATTCAGGTAGACTGTCAGGCATTTGGTGATTTACCTGAAAAAGTTTTGTTTGAATTTAGGATTCTTGGCACTTAAATCAAGCAAGTGCTTGTGGAAAGACTCTTATGTTACACGCGGGTTTCTTTTTCCCAACCTTATGAGGACTCTTTTCCACAGAATAGGTGTCAGAATTCTTTGCAACTGAAAATTCCTGCAAGGAAACAATGTTTTCAAATAATAAGATGTTTATTTTTCAGAAGGACTTTCACAAAAAGAGATTATGGTGAGGCTTGCACAATATTTGTATTACTTTTGACTAGACTAATTATCCAAATTAGTGCTGACAATTAGAAGCAACATCACATGTTCTGGATGCTATTAGTGCTCGTCCATTCAGAAATACCAATTTCTCTATAGTCTTTCTTACTGGTTGAGACATTGTTTGGGGCCATCCTAATTAAATTTAGTCTGAATTCAAAGTATACAAAGTGATATACATCATGTAAGTTTCCTTGCAGCTGCAGTTATAAAAATTTATATTAACTTTTAATATCCATGAATCATTTTATATGTCAGAGGGGTCATATATCTTGTTTTGTGTCTGCTGTCGATTATTCTCTTCATATTATTTTTTGGGGTGAGGAATGAACTATATTCTCCATGTCACAGTTTCCTATACGTTTTGGTGGAACTGTCAGCTATAAATTTTAAATTGGGAAGTAGAAACTCATGAAAGCAAAATATGTTTTACAAAATCTCTGATTGCAAGAAAATATTGGTGTTGAATATGAGTCCAAAGTCAGATACTATATGCCATTCAGTATTTTATTTCTGATCTATGGACTGCAAGAATTTCTGCTTGCTCATTTAATTTACAAGCTGCTTTGTTTTTATGTTCCTTTAGCCCCTTTCCTCTTCAGCTCTGCTCATTTCAACCTTTATATGATCTGGAGCAAATGTTTTGCCCATTGAATGGTTTGATTCACATTTTTACTATTGATACATTTGTGATTGTTGTTACATACTTCATTGAATGGGTGAAATAGGGCGAGGCCCTTCTTCTAGAATAAATAAATAAGATTGTAAAGACTCCTTAAAAACTACATTATAATGAAAAGCAGAATTGGGTTAAATATCTGCCTATCATTTTAGGTCTTTATAAATTCCATTGTTTGGGGACTGACATAAGAAATCTGTAAAGGAATGGAAAACAAATAGACTTTTTTCCCCTCTCTCTCAGTTGTCAAGTGTCAATTAGAGTTTAATTAAAATTTCATAATTGAAATGTATGTGCAGAATATGTACTTCAACACATATATAATATTTATGCACATATAAATGTATCAATATTTATTACTTCTTTATATAGTCAGTTTGGTGTAGTGCTTAACATGCTGGCCTAAGAAACCCAGGTACTGTGAGTTGTAGGCCTCCCTTAGGCATGAAAGCCAGCTGGGTACCATTAGGCCAGTCACACTCGTTCAGCCCAACACACCTCACAGGCTTGCTATTGTGGAGAAAAATAGGAAGTAGGAGTGTTAGGTATGTTCACAACCTTGAGTTATATATAAAACAAGTGGTATACAATAATTAATAATATTATTATTAATGTAATTGATCTGAGAATAGCCAGGGACAGCTTAATACAAGACAAAGAATTGGAGAAGATCACAAAGTATCAAGATCTGAAAATCAGAACTGAAAGATTATGGCATAAATTGGCCATAATTTGGTATGGCACATTGGGTGCCATACCAAAAAATCTTGGATACCACTTAGAAAATCTATGCATACAACCTTTCCATCTATCAATTACAAAAGGCCACACTACTTGAATCTGCACATATTTTATGCCGATACATTACAACATCCTAGTTCAGTGGTGGCGAACCTTTTAGAGACTGAGTGCCCAAAATGCAACCCAAAACCCACTTATGCATCGTCGAGTGCCGGGTGGGTGTGGCTCATTAGCCAATGGGTGTGGCCCATTAGCCAATGGGTGTGGCCCATTGGGTGGGCATGGCCCATTGGGTGGGCGTGGCTGCGGTGGTAACGGCAGACTCGGTGGGACTAAAAAGTTCAATCAATCAATTCCAACTTTGCAAGATTTTTTTTTCCTGCGAGAAGTTGAAATTGACTGATTGAACCTTTTTTTTTTTTTTTTTTGCACATGGTGGCAGAGGCCTAAAGCGAAAAGGTTTTATAAAACCCAGCTGAAGGCCTAGGACTGGGGCAACGGCGTGCGTGCCCACAGAGAAGGCTCTGAGTGCCGCCTCTGGCACCCGTGCCATAGGTTCGCCACCACTGTCCTAGTTTCTTGGGAAGAACTCAATGTGTATGAAAGCCAACACCAGCTAAAGAACAGACAGCTGTGATTTCACACTGTTATGTACATAATATAAAATGTTCCTTTATTCCCCAAATATTTTACATAGACACATATCTCACAAAGGAATATTAACCTATTTACATTTGTTTTGTTTTTCATTTCTAGATAAAGTTATAACAGTATAACTTTTATACTGTTATACTATACTTTTATACTATTCTTTATCCAAATATATGAAAAAATGCAAAATAATCATTCATCATGTAACATCTATATGTTCATGGGGTAGTTTTTGCTATATTCTGTTTGAATAGTGCTGGAAAAATATGCTTCAAAATTTCTACTAATTATTAATACTTGGATAAACATCAATTATTTTTCACTTGAATATGAAATATCAAATTTAAAGTACCATATGCAAAATATTTGTCTCATTTTCAATGCTAATTTTTCTATAAATATGCCAAACTTTACATATGCAAACAGTAACTTACATTAGTAATGTAGTATCCAGAGGCAATAAACTTGCAATATATCATTATACATATTGCAGAATTAGGTAATAAATTTTGACTGTGCTAGCTGAAAGATTATGGAGGTCTTTTATAGTTACACATTAACTCTAGGAAAATAAACATAGAAACACTGCTAAAACAAACATAGAAACACTACTAAGACAACACATTCAATTTTAATTTTAAGATGAAAAGTGATGCTTGATCCCTGGTAGGACAAAAAGACAAAAGGTTCTTAGTACAAATTCTTATTTTAGTGTATGCTGGGGTTTAATAAAAGGTGTTCAATGAGAAGCTGGACAGCTATCTGTGGACATACTGCAGCTGGATTTCCTGTATGAACTGAATTAGGTTGTTTTAAAGTCTCTAGTATATGGCTCATGATTATAATTAAAATATATATCCAATTTGTTTATGAGTGTGATACAAGCTATTGCTTAAAGTTGGGGCCTAGGATGGCCAAGAGAAGGCCACTTCCTACTTTAGAACTTCTGGAGAGACCCATTCCTGATGGTGGCTGGTTCGTCTTCCTGCTCTTTGGGACTAGCCTTTCTTTATGGTGGGATTGTGGTAAGATGGTATTGAGCAGCGGTTCTCAACCTATGGGTCGCGACCCCATTTGGGGTCGATTGACCATTTCACGGGGGTCGCCAAGCAAGGCTGTCCGCCATTTTTTTCCCCTTTTCCGGCGGGTGCCTTACCTCCCTTGAGCTGGGCCAGTTGGTGGTCGGTCTGCTCCGTCTCTGCCGCTTGCCAGCTACGCCTCGGCTGGCACAGGGGGCGGAACCACACATGTGCGGCGCTCCCGGGCAGGGAAAGTCCTCGACTTACGACCGGTTGGGTAGTCCTCGACTTAAGACCGGTTTAGTCCTCAGCTTACGACCGGTTTAGTCCTCGACTTACGACCGGTTGGGGGTCGCGGCATTAAAAAGGTTGAGAACCACTGGTATTGAGCAACTGCAGGCAGGTTCCCAAGAAGCAGAGCTTAGCCATTTTTTTATGTTACCCAAGGAACAGGTCACTGTCATGGAGATGCTCTTGCTCTATCATCTGTCATTCAAACTAGTTTTGTACATAGGTATAGTGCTATTTTTGGAGAGTGCTGCATTTATCTCCAAACACATCTCACCTGACTGACAAATCACATTTATGGTGGAAAGATTGTGAAGAGCATTGGGGAACTCCCCCCTCTCACCTCTGAGCCTTACACCATTGAAATTGGGTGGCTATAACAAAATTTAATGAATGAATGAATAAATAAATATATTTCCAGGTAAATAATTGCAAATTTGAGCCAGCCTATGAGAACTCTTTGTGAAAGTGAGGACACGGCTGTAATGGATTTAGATATGTATTGATCAATTTTTAAAATATGGTATGCTAAAAATGGGAAGGTGAAACTATCTGTTCTTCTATGATCTAGATTTAATAATAAGCTTGAGTTGAACAAGTTTTAAATAGGTATCATATGTATCTTATTTTTTTTTGTTTCATCTCTTATGCTATTTTTTCAGCAATGCAATATATGTGGTTTACTTTCATATATTACTGATATATTCATTCTTTGTTATATTTCACTGATAAAATTAGTGAAAAAGTTAAAAACAAGACTCTTCATTTGATGACTCACAAAAAGCCAAAGTTGTTCAGTTGGAAGAGAGTCACATTTGTGATCACAAGAGTTGAGGGCATCCTTAGAAACCTTTCCGATCACGGCATAATCCTTCGCGGGCAAGATTCCCTTACAAATTTTTAAGCTAAGCAGAGATCTGCACATAAATTTGAAACTTTTAAAATAAATTCGTAACGGATTAAGACACATTCAAGCCCTACTGAGTTTAAATAAGTCAGTTTGTACAAAAATACCGCCTTCCTTTATGCGTGCATTTGGAGAGGAGAGCAACTATACGTCACGCTGGATATTAATGAAGGTACCTGCAGGATGAAGGGCGCCCAGATTCAGCGCCTTCTCTCAGTATCCCCGCTGAATGAAGAAAACAGAAAGGCACTTCCTTCCACCAATCACTCCAAGGAGAAAGTAGGCGGGTTTGATGCATCAGCTGCTCCTGTGACGTAATGGCGCACGGCGGCAGATTTGAACTTATACGGCGCAAGCGCGCTTTGATTCGCTCGGGAAGTGTTTTGGGGCGAGCAGCTGTCCGGAAATTCGCTAATTTTTGAGTCCGACATTGATTCCAAGAAAGAGTTTCCGCACCGCCGCGATGAAGCGCACCGTGCCACGAAGCACTCTGAAGAACCTGTTGAAGAAGCACAAGCCTCAGCTCCGTTTGGGCGGCAATGCCGACTTACTGGTGAGTGAGAATTGGGAGGGAAGCTAGAAACGGGGGAAGTGGCTGCTGCCTCCCCTTAGTCTTGCGGAGCGCCTTTGCACACCCGTGTCCTGCTCTGCGACGGCAGCGAGCGGGTGTGTCGGGATAGGACGAATTTGGGAGGCGACAGTTCAGCGACTTGCTTCCCATAGAGGCCCAGTTGGTAACTTTTAGGGAAGCTCACTGGAAAACTGCTTCCTGCGCTTCCCATTTACTCATTTATGAAAGTGCATTGCCTGAACGTGGGAATTCCATTTTTCTCCCCCTCCTTGTGGTTCCTTTTGTTTAAGCTTGTGACTGGCGTGTAGTGACAACGCATTCTGTAAATCATCTTTGTACATTATAGCGATGCTAGTCAGGTAAGCAGTACTTAACCAGGGATTGCATATGTCACAGCTCAACCCTCTGTACCAGTGTTAAAGGCTGTAAAAGTTGTCAGAAGCTTCTTTGACTGTTGTTTAAAAAAGGCAGTTCTGCCCCCCCCCTTTCTCTCAAGTCTTCTCGTGCCAATAAAGTTTCTTACAAGTTGTTGCTTTTGAACACAGAACTTAGATTTTTTTTCTGTTCTGCTGACAATCAGTTTAAATGGCAAAACCTACGTTTTGATAGAAGGAAAATTTTGTAATGATTTTTTTTCTAGGCCTTGCATAATATTATAAACTCTGGGAAGTTGCTGCAATGCAGAAGAAAGTTGTGTTTCTATTGTGACATAATGATTTTGGCATCAGTGTTTAGGAATGGACACTGATGTGGGCTATGTATTTTGTTTTTTGCACTAATGCAGGGTTCTTCAAACTTGGCCCTTTTATGACTTGTGAACTTCAACTCCCAGAATTCTTCAGCCAGGCACGCTGGCTGAGGAATTCTGGGAGTTGAAGTCCACAAGTCATAAAAGGGCCAAATTTGAAGAACCCTGCACTAATGATTACAGTAACTCACTCTTCCACAACCTTTGGATAATCAAATTAATCGCCATCTCTAGAGATCTGATAAATGTCTGACCACAAAAATGTAAACCATAGTCACTCACCTCTCTTAAGATTTGCAAATCACCTGGAATCCAATAATCTTTAATGTGTATATATAGTTGCAAACAGGTTAAAGCTTGATGTACTATGATACATAGTTGACAGGCTGTACAAAGCTTGGTTCAGAAATTGTGCAGGCTTGCAATAATAAGTTTATGTGGAGCATAAGATTGATTTATATCAGATATCGACTGAAACTATGGTAAAAGAAATGTAGAACTTTAGAAGATTAGGGTTTTTTATATAAAAATAACATCCTCACTAATAATATGATTCACTTATAGTGTGAATATCTTGCATAGTCTCAGAAGTAAATCCTATTGATTGCAGTGCTTTTATTTAAATTAAATGACAAAAGTCTTGATTCAATACTGTACAATATTTGGCATGGTTATGATTAGTGAAACAGGCTGAACACTTTAGGTGACAAAATAGAAGTCATTCTGTCTGGCTGCAATCTGAAGAATCTGGTTTTTAAACAGCAACAATTCACCAGATTTGGACTTCACAGGAACAATGAATCAAAATTGTTCTCTAAAAGTCAAGACTATGTACAGCAATGGTGTCAAACTTGCTGCGTCATGTGACGTGTCGTGACGTATCATGACTTTTTCCCCCTTGCCGGAGCTGGGGTGGGCCGGCTTCTGATGTACAGTATGCAAGTAGTCCTTGACTTACAATCACAATTTAGCCCGAAGTTTCACTTGCTAATTAAGACAGTTAAGTAAGTTTTGCCCCATTTTCTAACCTTTCTTGCCACAGTTGTGAAGTGAATCACTGCGGTTAAGTTAGTAACATGCTTGTTAAATGAATCTGGCTTCCCCACTGACTGAAGTTTGTGAAAGATGATCACATGACCTCAGGACACTGCAGCCACAAATACAGACCAATTGCCAAGCATTCAAATTTTGATCATATGACCATGGGGATGCTGCCAGAAAAACGGTCATAGGTTACTTTTTTCAATGGTGTTGTAATTTCCAATGATCACTAAATGAATGGCTATAGGTTGAGGACTACCTGTATGTGTAGATTTCACTCTTTTTAAAAACATTTTTAACAGAATAACAGAGATGGAAGGGACCTTGGAGGTCTTCCAGTCCAAACCCCTGGTTAAGCTTGAGACCTATATCATTTCAGACAAATGGCTGTCCAATCTCTTCTTAAAAACCTCCAGTAATGGAGCACCACAACTTCTGAAGGCAAGCTGTTCCACTGATTAATTGTTCTAACTCTCAGGAAATTTCTCCTTATTTCTAGGTTGGTTCTCTCCTTGATTAGTTTCCATCCATTGCTTGTTGTTCTGCCTTCAGGTGCTTTGGAGAATAAGTTGAGCCCTCTGCTTCATGTCATCCCCTTAGTGTTCCTTGGCTAAATTAATACCTCTCAAAGTTCAGGAAATGAACGGCAGTTACTCTGGAAGATTTGAAATTGGATGCCTCCATATCTTTACCTCTACCTCTATACCTCTACCTATTCTATATGTAGAGATATAAATATATGGTGTGAAGGTGTGTGAATGTATTTATGTATGTTATGTATTTCAGTCTCTTTGAAACCTGGCTAAGAAAAGGAAATTGTTTATTAAATTTCTATGGCTGCCTATCTTAGTATATGGCTTGAGGTTCCTAACAATTAAAAATACAAATTACATAACAAAATTATAATAAATTTGAATAAAATAAAAACAGAATAAAAACATAGCAAAAATTATAAATAACAAATAAAAAGGCAACCAAGAAAAAAAAATCCACAACAAAAACAATAACAATCATAGTTAACACAACCAAGAAACAGGCTTGTCCATTCCATCAGGACCCCAGGCTTAATGACAAAACCTTTAAGATTTCATAAAAAGCCAGAAGGATTGGGGCAAGACTGATAGTATCTATTTAATTGGATCTGTTGGATCAGGATTATCCATAACTAATGTAAAATGCTGTTGTACATTGTTTACTTGAAAGGAAATGCTTCCTAATGACCACTAAGAAGCGATCTAGGAGCCGTCTCACCCGGCTCCTAGATCGCGTCATGGGTCCTGACTGGCCAATCTACACTTTGGTCGTAGTTTGTGTGTTATTGCCTGTACCCTCTCTACTTTTCTTACATGTGTGTGCATTATTGCCCCTTCCCTCCTCGTGTAATCGTGACTGAGAGGGATTCTTTGCTTTCCTTCTTTGCTCGCCTGTGAACTCTGCCTCTTTAAGTTGTTTCCTCTTCTCACATTCCTCCCTAGTAATACCCTTTCTTCCATCCTCTCCCCCTCTCTGTCCATCATTTGCATTCCCATTGTCATTGTTCCTGCTACAGGGCTTTGCTCTAAGCGTCTCCCCTTGGTTCCTATCCTCCAATCCCTCTCCCTCATCGGGAGGTTTGTTAATCCACAGCTGTTGTCTCCTCTCACCTTTACTTTTCCCTTTCTTTTATTTATGTATATATGTGTATATATGTGTATATATGTGTAATCAATCAGACCGGTCTGTCTGAAAAACTTCCTGTATATACTCCCTTGACTCGGCTGGCAAAGAGGGGAGGAGAGCCTGTGGCTTGGTGGTTAAATCACTGCCTAGTATGTAAACTGCCCAGGTTCGAATCCCATAAAGGGTATGGCTAACTGATGAAAGCAGAACAAGCTTGAAATGGCCATCTTAGTCTCCCAATTTAATTCTTTAACTCTTTGTCAGAAAAAGAAATTTGGGTTTAAAATGTTTCGCAGTTGCGACTTGAGCCTGCTTAACGCCCCTAGTTGGGGGGCTGCAAGGCAAAAGATATTGTAAAAAGTAAAACTGCAGTATAGCAGTTAAAAAAAATGTCAAGGTGTAATCAATCAGATCGGTCTGTCTGAAAAACTTCCTGTGTATATATGTGTATATATGTATACACACACACACACACACAACTGACATTCTCCTGGTTTCTAGGCCAGCATCTTAGCCACTAATCCAGACTGGTTCTGTAATAATCCTGAAAAAGAAATCCTGAAAAGAAAGCAATAAGAAATTCTGCCTCTATTATCAACCTGATCTAAATCCCATTTTTAAGGCAGATTATTGGGAGAAAGAGTTAGTTGGGGGTAGGGAGACTGAGTTCTAGGTCTGATTCAGACACAAAGCCAAGTGGGTGACCTTGGCCCAGGCCCTTTCTTTTAGCCGTAGGAAGCAGACAATGCTATTTCGAGAACATTTTAATTGGCATCATCATAAATCATTTTATAGATTAGTTAGCTTGCTGTGATGTATTTGAGATTTTTTGGAAGATTTAAAATTTTGTACTTTTCTTTAAAAGGTACATTTGAACTTCTTGCTGTTCCTGTTTCGGTTAGCAGAGGAAGCCAGGACCAAAGCTATTGAAGAAAAGAGTAAAATAATTAAATATGAACATGTTGTCTCTTCCGCAAAGGTAATCATCGTTAAGTTCTTTCTTGAATCTTACTTTGCATACTATAACGTTAAAGCTGCCTACAATTGTATTAAAGTCTAAGGGAGTATTCAGATAAAGCTACCTTTTATAAAGAAGATTTTTGTTAAAACTTTATTACAGTTAGAATTATATAGTGTTGTATAATTATATTATAAATTTATGTTAGAACATGTGTATTCAAATTAGGGTATCATTACTAAAAGAAAAATCAGCAAATTGGATTAAATGTAACTGCCTTTTACAATAATTCTGTGTGCTAAAATATAATTAAATTAATACAGTAAAAGGAATATTCATCACAAGGATATTTTAACTCCCACAGAAAGAACTTTGTAGTAATCTAAATGGAAGATTCCTAAAGAGTAGGCTACCATGACCAGGCCATCCCTGTCAGGGCCGCTGGACATGGCATTGCTGGCTAAAGACATGGTCACCTATGCCATCTAAGCCTTAAAAGATAACGATGAATCCACAGAGGCTATCTACCTGTTCCTTCATAAGGAGTGTGGCTCCAAAGAATAGCTAGATCTGTGAGCTACCAATCCATATGTCTTACCAAGTTTTGTTTTTTGAGCAACACTTCTCTGGTACCTCCACTACCTTACTTTAAAAAAGGGAGAAATAAAACTCTACAGTATAATGTTACTCAACCACAAGCCCCTGATGGCCTCACTTGATACCTTTGTATAGAATATAAACAAAGGTAACAAAATGCAGGATCCCATGACTGCTAAGCCAAGCTGAAGCCTGCTAAGGCCAAATCAGGAGGTAGAAGCAGAACTACTAAGGGGCATCCTCTCACTTCGTCCAGAATGATTGACTCAGCCAGACGGCAGTACAAAAATCTGCCATAAGATTAAAGAAAATGAACTTTCCCTCCCCCACCCCCAAAGCACATCAGTTTAGGCCAACCAAAGCAGTTTCATTGCCAAAATCAAACTTGAACTTTGAATGAATTGAATCAGGTAATCTGTATCATCCAGAAACATATGAAACTAATAGCCACTATTTTATCCAGTGGGAAATTTGCAGTAAAGTAATATTCACAATAGTTATGGTTCTCTTTCAAAGAAATATGGAATGTAACATTTACCTCATTCTGGACCTCCTACATAAGTACTTTTCTACTAGGTATTGATAAATCCTAAACTATTTGCACTGCTGACTTAAAGAAGTGAAAAGACACAAATGATACAAAAGCCTTGTTTATTATAGGTATAAAATCACTGTTTTACTAGAGTGACCATTATAATCTAAAGCATTTCATATTAAATATATGACTAATTTTAAATGAAATAATAAGCTTTTGTATCTATATGTTTTTCTTTCCAGATAATTTTAAAGAAGAGTCGAGGCTAAAGGAAAGAGGAGTTCTTAAATTCATTGACATTCACGGATTCTTATACATATGCAGTTTAGATATTTGTGTTTTATATTTTCAATTTGTTTTGCATTAAATAATGTCTTAGAAATAAATCTTAATTCATTGTAGTAATTGATGAAATTTAGTAAACGTGTTAGTAAAATCAAGATCAGTGACTGAAATAGTTTTAATATTTATAAAATATTGCTTCTTTGTGTAATGATTATATAAGATGCCTTATCTGAGAACCTTAAACGTAAACTTAACTGATAGTCGTTATGTATTTCTACAAACCTTTAAAAACCAAAACCTTATTATCCAGAGGATATTATTAATGTGCAAGTAGTGTACTGTTTATACCTTTTTAAACTTCTGATCCTAAATTACATTTCAAATAAATAAACTTTCAGCTAATAAATATTTGATTTTATAGTCTTGTACTGGAAGACAGATTTTTAAAACACAAAATTGTAAACAAAATATAAAAATATTTCAAATATTACCATTTGTAGTAATAAAGCTATTATAGACTGCATTCTTCATGTTAATTTTTCATGTTATTTTGTTATAAGTTGGAGGGAAAAAAATAAAATACCTAATTGTAAAGAAACTTGTCTTCAGTCTTACAGTTTTTGGAATGTCTACACCATGATATCCTTCAAAGGGAGAAGTTAAGGCAGAAATAAATTATTTTTGGAAAAGAAAGCCACTCACTTTTAAAATGTTTTGTACAGCTTCATGGTTAAGTAAAAGGTATACCAGGCATTGGACTAAGTCCTATTTTAATTAAACAGATTATTGTGTTTTGCTTCATGATTGTATGATGAAATCTAATACAATCTAATTCTATAAATCAGTACTGTGATCAATACCTTTGATATAGACAGCAATACAACCAGTGTAATTTTCATTTAGTCAGTGCTCTTTTTAGAAATCTCATCTCTTTCAAAATGGCTGTTCCTTTTGCAACCATAAGATGGGGATAGAGTAAAGTATCCCATATATTTTCCCTTTTATGTAGATTTCTGCTTCATTAAATCTGCCTCTTAAAGAATTATTATGTTACATTAAAGCACTGTCATGAAGTATCTTATTGCTGACAGATGTAGGGTGATTAAGGATTTCATTTTAATTGCAGTTTTGTATGAAGGAAGGGAACAGCTTCAGAACTTTCATGCCTCTTGTTAATGAGATCTGATGAGAGAAGTTAAATTTCTGTGTTTTGACAGCGTGCTAAATATATTCTATTTTTCACACTAAGAAGTGTCATTTTCTAATCATCCAACATAATCAACGGTGGCTGGTTAACACTTTAGAGATTATTGTCAAGGAACAGTGTTTATATTAGTCAATGTAGAAGTGTTTTTAATGCAGAGTACTTAAAAAAGCGACTAGATGTAAGCACAAGTTTCAGAAAACAACCAATCTTTCATCAGTTGATTTTTCTGCAGTAAAGTAGAATAGTAATAATCCTCACCCCCATGACAAATAGTTGTTATGGAGAAAGCAATGTAACACTTTTCGTTTGGCTAGATTTAGAAAAAAATTAAGTTTAAAAGGAAATATGCAATGACAGTACACTTAAGATTATAAGTTATGTATTAAAGCTTTAAACCATATCTATGTTTGAAGATTGTAATATCACATTTAAAAACCCCAACTATATTGTTGAATATATATAAGAGTCTAGATATGGATAAGAGTCTAGTCAGGCTTTAATAGGTCTCTGTTTTATTCATTTGACTTGCCTTTATTTTATATTGTTCTTATCTTAATTTATGGAGATTTTAGTTCTTTGAAGTTTTGCATCTTCTGTAATTGTTTGCTGATAGTCTCCATGTTTTGCATATTCATATTTACAACAGCAGTTCTTCACATGATTAAAAATCATTAGTTAACTTCTTCAGATTTGAACACATTTTTGTATTCTCTTGTACATTAAGGCAAGTAGGCCACATTAATAGTAGTTAGTAGTCTGGGAGGTGAGCTCTTTCTCATGCTTCTAGTATAACATAGAAAGTCCTCATGGGGCAAGATGAACCTTATTTAAATATCATGTTTTCGTCTTATTTTTATCCTTTATTTTTTGCCTCCAAAAGAGGCATCAGGTCTTATTTTTGGGGGGGGGGGTCTTTTGTACTCACCTCATGATGGCGGCATCGACAGCGTGGCTCATTTCTTCTGCAGCCAAAGGAGTAGCTTCATTCTGTAGTTGAGAATGGAGCTCGGGCCTGCATTTCGCAGTCAGAGGCCTTTGCGGAAGCCTCTGCAGCTGAGAACTTAGCTAAGAAATGCAGGCCCGAGCTCCATTCTCAGTTGCAGAATGAAGCTTCTCCTTCAGCCGGCGAGGCAAGTGTCGATACATGGGAGACCTGGCTGCAATGGTAAGCTCCATCCCTGCCCTAGCTTGATTTTTAGTCGTGCGCCTCACCCCCAAACTAGGGCTTATTTTGGGGATAGGGCTTATATTAGGCCCACCCCTAAAATCAAACTAGGTCTTATTTTGGGGGGTAGTTTCCCTGTTATTAGAACAAGGGAAGAAAATATAGACAGTTTTAGAGCTGTATATGTATTACTCTTGGCTGAAGGATGTGAATTTTTTTTCTCTCCCAATGTTCAAAGCTAAGCACTAGAATTGTGTATTGTTTTAATATTGCAGTAGAACAGGCCAACATTTTGTGTTCTAAGGACCAAAGTTTTAAATGGGGCTAGTGTACCTTCTGCTGTCAGAACAAAGCTCAGAAGTGTTTCGGCTATAGCAAACAATGGGAGCTCCATTTGAATTTCTTGATCCTTTGTTTTTAAGCCAAGGAGTGACAGTCCATGTTAACTAGTAGCAGTTACCTAAAATGCAGTGAAATTGGCTAAGGGGAGATTTTAAAGTTTGCAAACTCAAGAACTTTGGAAGTAATTGTTTATATACGTGTGTTCATATGTTTTATGTATCATTTGAGGGGCTCATGCTTGACAAAATCTCAAAATATTCTTTGGCAATTCTTTAGCTTATAATTTAGGTTTAAGGCCATGAAAGTGAGATGGGCTAAGTTTGATGAATAAATATATTTCCAGAATAAGGTAGTAAATATAAAGAACAGTTATATAAAAACATGTTTAATGAAAAGGAGGACTAGGGTTGACATGATAGCAGTGTTCCAATATCTCAGGGGTAACCACAAAGAAGAGGAAGTCAAGCTATTCTCCAAAGCACCTGAAGGCAGGAGAAGAAGCAATGGATGAAAACTAATCAAGGAAAGAAGCATCCTAGAACTAAGAAGTTTCCTGACAGTTAGAACAGTTAACTAGTGGAACAACTTGCCTCCAGAAGTTGTGAATGCTCCAACACCTGAAGTTTTAAGAAGAGATTGGTCAACCATTTGTCTGAAATGGTAGGGTTTCCTGAAATGGTAGGTTTATCTGAAATGGTAGAGTTTCCTGCCTGAGCAGGGGGTTGGACTAGAAGACCTCTAAGGTCCCTGCTAACTCTGTTATTCTGTTAAACGCACTCAATTTTCTTTCAAATCAACCTCTTGGCCAATTTGACTATAGGTAAGTATATAACATGCAAAATAATATTGCTAACTGAAGAGATTGTCATAATGAACAATCTCTTCACTTTTGCATGTTTTTCTTTGGGAAGAAAAACTTCAGTGACTGTATCCAAAAGTGCTCACAGCTGCTCCTCTCACAGCACAAGGAAAAAACAAAACAAAGCAAAAATTTTCCCCTGTTACTGCCTCAGCTATTGAAAACAGGAGAATAATCGTTGTGGTGCATACATTCTTTGCTCAACAAAACAACAAACAAGTCATTAAATACTTTGTAAGAGGGTGTCTTCCTCAGCTTGAAAGTTGAAATGTTTTACTGTTTTGAACTTGAAGAGGTTTGTGCTCAGACTGTTTTTCCCATCCCTGTAGGGAATAAATCCAGTTGAGTTGTTTCTGAGTCATTGTTCTGAGAATGGCTTTACATGATCAAGATACTATCACCTCTTATAAAGGATAACATTAACTACTAATATATTTAACTTATTTTAACTATGGCAACCTGATGGTTTCAATGTATGTTCTAATTTATTTATGTATTAATCAAATTTATATAAGCGTCTATTTCACAAAAAGTGATTTTGGGTGGCGTTAGCGTACTGATAGATATTTTCCTCACCAATAGGCCAGGACAGAATATTAATATTAACCAGTATTTTATATTTACTTAAAATACATTTATCCTGTTCTTCAAATAAATCAAAATATTTTCTGTTTATTATTTTGATTTAAATTGCATCTAACTTTATAATTTCCCCAATTTATTTGGAGAACTGGGAAATAAACAACATGTATACTTTAATAAGTAGTCCTCTTTTTAAATATTTTAGTAAAGAAGAAGATACATAAAAAGTAAATAGCTGCCTATCAGGAAAGTTCTATGAATTAATCAGATTTATATTTGAAGGACCAATGTGAAATGGATTTGAGATATAATTTCACAAAGTGAACTATTTTTTTCCTGGCCCTGTAAGCCAGTAAATAGACTTATTGTTGTGCTTAAATGCTTAACCTATTTGAAAATGTTAATAGTGTCAATTATTTTGAACAAAATCTAATCTTAGGCTATGTGTTTGTGTTTTTTCTTGACAGTTCAGATAAGTGTGTTGCATAGATTTCAAATACTGGCCTTTGAAGACTAAAGCAAAACTTTATTTTTCTTATCTCCATTGTATGGAGTAGAACATTTTTATGAACTTTTGCAAAGTCAAAACATTAAACACAGGGGAGGATATCCTATGGTTTATAGTGTTAAGGGAATTACCTCATCAGCTTGAAAGCTCAATAACAAAGTAAGCCTTTAGAATCCCACAGTTGATGGACAAAAAGCAATATATCATAGTTCTGGTGTTTAATTGCTTATTTTCATTACAAAAGTGTAAAAGTGCTTTTTATATTTTATATTCTTGAAATCATAGTTTATTTTAGTTGGTTTTAAAAGAAAATGTTACTCCATGGTGGAATATAGATATTAGAACAGTGGAATATATTACCAGCCATCACTACCATAACCCCACCACCATCTTCTAAAATTATTAACATGCAAACAAAATATCTCAAATATAACTCTGACATGTGTGTGTGTGTGTGTTTGTGTGTATGTATACACTTATATACATGCTTTTAGCCTTTCCACATTCATTAAAAAATACATTTAAGTTTAAGGCCATTCCATCCTCATTAACAATGTCTGATTAAAAGTACTGATAAAGACAAAAGAAATACCTGTATTTTTTGGACGTTTTTGATAATGCAAATTTATTGGAAAAATAAGCACTTCAAATGCTAAAAGTTTGTGGGGGTTTGAAATAAAGGTTGGGAAACAAGCACTGAGGTTTTTTTGGCCTCCCATACTTTTGCTTTTCCATTCTGCTTTTAAGTTTGTTTCATTGGAAAAATCCAGCAGTTTCAGCTATTTGCAGCTATTTGGTGGAGTGAAACACTCTTAATCTGACTTTGGAGTTTGGAAATCTTAACCTACTATTGCTCAGCTCTTGGTAGTCTCAGTTTATTTAGTTAAAACATTG